TTCATTCGCGCGCAATCACGTGACTACATAAGTTCCTGTCCCCCAAAATTCTTTGGCGCGTCCCTCCTGCAGGGTCCATAGAGCAAACAAGCCAGCATAAAACCTGTCGGCGAAATAAAAAGAGTTAGAAGATTGGAGGTTGATGTTGTGTCTCTCTAACTTGCTAATCTTTTGTTCTTTCTTGCGTTATATATATATATTTGTACTGCATGAGTTAGAGAGAGACAACATGAACCTTTCGTTTTTTGCTGCTATATTCATGCACAGATATTTCCACTTACACAACCGCCTATGAATTGTTTCCTCTATCTGTAATATCTCTATGGATGTAAACGCGTTTGTGCTTGGTCTTTGATGACCATTAAAATATATAATTATTGAATTAATTGTTTATAATAAATAATAACACTTATACCTTTAAGTTTGTTATCATACAACCAATACGATCAACAAGCAATTTCAATTTTTCACAAAAATATTTCAAAATTTGGATAAGCCCGTTTCTAAAACAAGATTGCTCACCCCTGGTTTAAGTAATACGTTTCTATTCGAAGGATAAAAGTAAACTGAGTAAAAAGCAATCCGATGAAAAAATCGGATATTCATAATGCGCATGTCCTTTGTGGAAGGGATAAAATGTATTCCACCCCCCCCCCCTCCATAAAGATGTAACAACAACAAATTACTTAATTGTTGGGAATATACACCTGTCGTTTAGATATGATTGTCCTACAAAGGGGGAAAAATGTAAGACGTTATATGAATACTACACATTGTATATTGTGAAGAAATGTTTTCTATTAATTCAACATAACAAACACATACACACAAACACATACACACCTGTTCATATTTAATTTAATAGATACCTGAAAGGTATAATTAGAATACTTAATGTGATACACAATCGTAGGATTGAAGTTAGTCAAAGTTAGGAAGTCAAACTATACACAACAGTATGATAATAAAAGATGAAGATTGTATTCGAAATGAGTATTACGTTTATAATCGATTATTTTTTAAGATTATTGGCTTATGGCAATTTCAGAGATCAACGAAACAATTGATTTACTTTTGTTTTATCAATTTTATTATATTTACTGCATTACTTGGACAAGTAAGTGTTGATGACAGTGTTGATGAGATTAATTCATTTAATTAACATCTGTCTGATACCTAAATGTGATAATTATAATGTGTGTGATCATCTGTATGATTAATTGTGCTCATAATTATGGGAAAGTGGTTTAAGTCATATATCACTTGTTTCGAGATATTTCAAGATTTATACATGAACATTATACAATACGAATTTTATACAATATTGAAATAACAAACATTATCTAACTATTTATTTTTGATAATATCGTAAAAATTACATTGAATTTATTTAATTTATAATAATATAGTGCGTAATAACTGATAAACTCATTTTTTATTAATTTTGACTTACATTAGACTACTTTCATAATTATAGGCACAATTATCATATGATTTTTATTTATTTATTTTTTTTTAAATAAATAAAAGAAGGGGAAAAATATAAATTGACTGTTTTTATTTAATTACGTATTAATAATAATAATAATAATAATAATAATAATAGATTTTGCTTTAGATAGCCATGCTCTTTAGGTCGGAATTAAAAGTTAGTACTATTACCAAATTACTGGAAACAGTTCTGCCTACTTTATGTTTCGGTGTTTGTTATTACAATTTATTATGGAATGGTGAAATTGTTCGTATTTTCTTGAAAAATATCAGTTTATTTGTTTCTATTTGTTTTTTTTTTTTTTTAAATAAATATAAACGCACGTTACAATCATTCATTTATACGTAATTAATATTAGATGAATAATATTTTACATCGTATCAAATGTGATTGGGATGAATTGGCAGATAAACCGGAATTGATTATACTCAAAAAATACGCCAATGTAAGCAGATTGTGTACAATTACAATTGCAAGTAAGTTAATGAAAATTCATCATGAATATTATTTATTCATTAATATACAGTGAGTGTGAAAAGTATTCGTACAACGATCAATTTGAAATAAAATGTTGTGAAAATGTAGTTTATTAAATAATTGTTTTTTTTTTATAAACGATGAATTTATTCATGAGTATAAATGAATATACGTACAGGATATACTGACGTGTCATGTCATACTGTTTAAGTGTATCTAAGGGTGTTCAATTTACAGTTCCTATTAAAATAATGCCAATTATTAAGTGAGTAATATGAGTTTTCTTACCAAAAATACAGTCAGACCACCACTTTCAAAATTAACAACCAGATTCATTATAAAATTTGAAGGAGCCCAAATCCATTCAACATAATTTAAGATGCTTCAAATTGAAAACAAAAATAATACTCAATTTATTTGACATATCTTTAAAACACTTCAGAAACATAATTGATGCGATTGAAAACATTTTTTAACTTACATCAATTACAAAACAATTTACTGCTCATTTACATTTTGCATGTGTGAAAGGGATTTGAAGAAACCATGATATTCCTGTGGGATATGTCGTAGTAGGTCAATTATGTCTTTGAATTTTGATGTTGTAATTTGTCTGATATTTTCATACAGTGGTATCAATGTAATATTGTCGAACTTTTTTGGTCTACCCAGACGTGCTAATAAATTCAGAATTTTCAAATTTTCATTCTCATTTATCGATGTTTTATAGAAAATTTGATCCAGTTCATTTCTGACAAAACTCATTGAAACATATTTTTAACCAGTTTATCGATTCTTTGTTAGAATTGTGTAACCTTTTAAAAAATTGCCTTTTATACTTGAAATATAAGCAACCTTAAATGGTTTATTGATATATAAAATGAAGTTGTACAAATTTGATCAATGTACGAATATTTTCTATACTTACTGTAAATATATATATATATATATATATATATATGAGAAATAAAAATAATTATTTTTCTTTTTCAGTCAGTTTTTACTTAAACATCATTTTTATTCTATTTCCATCATTTTTACATATGTTTTTGAATATTTTTGCTGGAAATAATGAAATAAAATTGATGATACCAATGGAAGTTGATTATATAGCAAAAAATAAAATTGATTACTTTCTTTTATATTCATGCGAATATACGTATACATGTATTGTGTGTATGTTAGGGGTAGCCAATTATTCTATGTTTGTAGCAATCATACAACACGCATGTGCATTGTTAAATATTGTCTCGTAAGTAATGGAAAACAATTAATTATATATATATATATATATATATATATAAATATAATTATATATGATAAAATAAAAACTGTAAATATTTCATTTTTGTTTCTATGTTACTAAAAGAAAAATTGCAGTACTTTTTGAATTAACACAGATGGAGGATAGATGAAAGATTCAAAAATATCCAACAAAATTTTGATCATAATTCAATTAATGGACAATTGACGGATGAACGTGAATGGATTGTCGGTATCATACAATTCTACACTAATACAATTAAGTTAGTATACTCTAATTGTATAAAACTATATTATAAACTAATTAATAGACATATACAAAATTTCAATCAATATTAAAGATTTAATATTTATTAAATATTTATATATTTAATATTAATCATTATTTAACAAGTTTTGTAGATTTAATAAAATCGTGTTACGAATCAGCTTATATATTCGAAGGATTAATAACATTGATTATTATTATGGTCGATTATGTTTACGTGAGTAAAGTGTTTGAACAAAACAAACAAATTGAAATTTATTTCATTTCGCAAATTTATAGACAATTATTTTCTATCATAGTTATTTGAAATACTTTCTTTTACCTTAAATACGAGAGAAGGATTAGAAAAGCTATCTTATGTCATTGGATCTTTGATTGTAATATTTACTTATAATCATCTTGGACAAAAATTAATTGACAATCATACAGATGTTTATACAAAACTGTAAGTACATGTTGTATTTTCATTTTTTTCATTGTTATCTTGAATTACATAATCCATTTTATTTTATAGCTGTCAAATTCCGTTTTACTCTTTATCATTAAAAACACAAAAGATGTTACTATTTTTGATAATGAGAAGCATAAGACCCTGTAATCTTTCTGCAAAAGGAGTAATCGTAATATCCCACGATCTTTTTGCAGCGGTAAACAATTATCCCTATATATTTTGGGAGTACAAATTAATTTGGTCCGTTGTCAAAAATGGCTCTCTAAAAGCATTCAATTTTGAAATAGTAACAACTGATTGCCATGGTTTTAGATAGATTGAACATCTGCCGATAACATCCAGTTTGCATTATTTTGAGTTTCATACAAAACGTATTTTGTTACGCTGTTGACAATTTCAGACTATATGATAACAAACAGCATTAGTGGGAAGTTTTTATTTTTCGTTTTAATTGGAAAAATAGTGCAGCTGAAACTCATCGTAGGCTTGCGGAAGTTTACGGTGACAATGGTTTAATTGACAAGTCATGTAGAGAATGATTTGGACACTTCAAAAGTGTTGATTTCAGTGTTAAAGATAGAGATCGTTTGGGACAGTCAAAAATATTCGTAGACAATGAAATACAGGCAGTACTCAATGAAGATCTGAGTCAAATGCAAGACGAGTTTGCACTTACGTTGGGGTTGAAAGCAAAAAGCAGGGTCTGTACGTTTAAAATCTATGGGCATTACGAGAAAACGGCCGGAATATAAGAACAGACATGACAAAGTTATTCTTTTGCATGATAACACTCAGCTTCATGTCGCAAAAGTTGTCAAAAAATTATTGAGAAACAATCAAATGGGATATCATACCACACCCGCTGTATTCTCGGGACAGTGCTCTTTCTATCTACTAACTGTTTTGACGAATGTTAAACTATTTGGCAGGTAACAACTTCACTTTTTTCTAAGAAATCAAAAATTGGCTTCAAAATTGGACCGCCTTAAAAAACGAGAAGTTTTCCAAAATATGATTTAAGAATTGTTATAAGAGGTGGAGAAAAGTTTTGAGCAGTGATGGAAAATATTTTGATTAATTTGTTAATTAATTATCTTTTCAAGTAAATGCATTTTTTCAGCTAAAGAAACGGACCGAATTAATTTGTTTATTATTTGTTATTAATAGTTACTAATAGAAATAATTATTTTTAGTTTATGCGAACGTCATTTTCATACGTCATGGTATTTTCTAATTTTTGAATGAAATCACATTTACATGTAGTATTGCATTAAATAGTTATATGTAATTGTTTTAAACAAAATTCTAAATATATGTATAAAAAATCTTTAACTAAGATAAAACCCGTTAAGAAAAAAAGATGAATATTTACCCGATATAAAAACAAGTAGATACAGGTAATTGTCATAACAGTCGTATCAAGTTAACGATAATGCGTTACGTTCAAGCGACAAATGTAAACTGCACGAGAATATGATGATAAAAAAAAAGCTTTTTCGTAACGCGCATGTCTTCGAAAGAGGGGGGAGGAAAGATTTTGAATATGCAAAGGTAGATTGGAAAATTACTTAATAACTGTGAAAATGACACCTGCACGGTTATATATAATTGATCGAAAAAGGGGGAGAGAAAAGCAATGGATAATGTGACAGAGACTGTAAGTTAAGTGTGAGTGTATAAAATATAATAATTATGATATACAGTGACAATATCGTAACGTTCCTTAATCATTAATTTTTCAGATACCATTAAAAATTGATTATTAGAATACTTAATGAATTTACAAAGCATGGGGTTGAAGTCATTCAGAATCAGAGTGTTGCAACATACGGTAACATGTTTTTAAAAGATGAAGACTGTATTCGAAACGAATACTATTCTTACAATTGTTTATTTTTCAAATTAATTGGTTTATGTAAATTTCAATCAAAATCCAAGCAATTGATTTACGTTAGTTTGTTAAATTTGTCAATATTAATTGCTTCATTAGGACAGGTAAGTCTCTGTTTATTAATTAATATCATGTTATCAAGTATAATTTTTTTTTTTTTAAATTAACACTCAATAAAATGACATAAAATTAAATTTATTGTTTAATTTAATAAGGTATAAGTAAATAATATTTAATGTAAATAATAATAATAATAATAATATGGGTTTTCTCTTTAGATAGCTACGCTATTTAATTCGGAACTTCAAATAAGTTACATTGTAAAATTATTGGAAACAACTCTGCCAACATTATGTTTTGGATTTTGTTATTACAATCTATTATTGAATAGTCAAATTGTTCGTAATTTCCATTAAAAAAAAAAAAAAAAAATTATTTAATTATAATGCTGAACAAATTACAGTGATAGATTTTAAATTATATTATATTTAACGTATTAACTTTCAGATGGGTCAAATTTTGAATCGTATCAATTGCGATTGGAACGAATTAGAAAATAAACCGGAGTTTGTAATATTAAAGGATTATGCACGTGTAAGCAGAAGATGTTCAATTACAATTGCACGTAAGTCAAACAATAATAATAATAATAATAATAATAATTATAATATTAATAAACACAATATATTACAAGAAAATATTTTGAAGTTTATTGTTAAAATTGTGTTAAAAAACACATTTTCATGAAAATCTAAATCTATTAATTTTATTTGACAGTAATCTTTTACTTTTATATTGCATTTTTGATCAGTCCAAGTTTATTTCTAACAATACAATTTATATTTGGTGTAAAAAGTGCAAATGAATTAATATTACCAGTACCAGTAGACTTTGCTATGAAAAATAGATTCAGTTTCTACTGTGCGTTATTGATTGAATACATAAATTTGACCTTGATAACAATGATAGGAGTTGCCAATTATACAATGTTTATAACAATTGTGCAACATGCTTGTGCACTTTTCAATATCATTTCGTAAGTATTTAAAATTATTTAAACAATATATTTTACGATAAGTGTACAAATAAGTTTCCGATGAGATTTATTGTTACAAAACTGTACATTACGTTTATTCGAAGTATTATACATCACAAGCAATTACTTTTTCCCATCTCTCATACAGCATTCTGAAGAACTCTTCATCTTTTGAGGTTATGCAAAAATCAATCCAATTTATAGTATCTTCATCTTCTTATCTTAATATATATAAATTACGTGTCACGTTGTTTGTTCGCAATGGACTCCTAAACTACTTAACCGATTTTAATCAAATTTTCCACACTGTGTGCAGTTTCATTCAACTTCAAAGATAGAATAGTTTATATCTCAATTTATAATCACAATTATTTGTTTATTAACAAAGAGTCATGATTATCTCTGTCAGTTCGATAAGATTCTAACAGACGGCGGTATAAGGTAATTCGTTGACTTGAAGACGTGTGAATCGGACTGATTGTGAGTCCTAGTATGATATAGANTACAATTCAATTTTGGAATGATAAATATTACTGAATTAACGTTACCGATATATTACGGATATTTTTTGAAAAATGAATTTCTTTATTACTTTGCAAATATAACAATGTGTACATGTATTATCATTATTTGCCTGGTAGGGATTGCGAATTATTCTATGTATATTTCAATAATACAGCACGCTTGTGCCTTGTTTGATATCATCGTGTAAGTAATCATCAACAAAATTTGTTTATGTTATTTTACAAAATGTATAATTTTTTTATATATAAAATCTCTTCATTTAATATTATTCGTATTATTTTTAAGTAGATGGAGGATGAACGAAAGGTATAAATCAGGAATGTTCTATAATTTGAAAACGTTTAACAGTGTTGAAGAAAATGAATGGATCATCGGAATAATAAAATTCTACAATAATACAATGGAGTTGGTATTCGATTTATAAAATTAATTTATTTTGTTTTTAATATTCTTACATTAAGTAAGAAAAACCTTGAAAAATTAATCAAACAAATACTTTTTTTCTTTTTCATTCTCCTCAAGTTTTGTCAACTTAATCAAATTGTGTTATGAGACAGTTTTTATATTCGAAGCATTTTACGCGATGATTTTCATTATGGTGGATTATTTCTACGTAAGAAATTACATTTTTCAAAAATTTTGTCATAACTGTACGTACATAAACTCACCAGAATGAAAATATCCCAATGGGAATTTGATTGTAGATATTTCAGATGATTTCTTCTGATGTTAGTACAAGCGAGGATTTAATTAGATTTTTTTACATCATTGGATCTTTGTCCGTAATATTTGTTTACATATCTATTGGACAAGAATTAATAAATCATCATACGAATCTGTTGACAAATGTGTAAGTATTATATACTTTTTATAAATAAATATTATATTAGGTGTACAAATAAGCTTCTGTCACTTAAAGCAGCCTTATCATATGCTTCTACAAGCAATCAATGCACCTTAGCTTTAGATTTTTTTCAATTGAAGAAGTAAATTAAAAGTTGTCGCAAATGATGCTTATTTGGAACAAATTTGTACATTTTCGGAGAAAAAAAATGTTATGATGCTGATTCGAAGTTAAAAATACTTCAAGCTAATGTGTTAATGCTGTCTTTCATTTGTCAATTTTAACCTTGAGCCTTAAGTTTAGTGTCATCTTTTTTAAAACGGCGAGTACCTATTCGTACACCTAATAAATAAATATTATATACTAATTATTATAAAATTAATTACATTTATAAATAAATATTATATACTTTTTTTCAGATGTCAGATGCCATATTATTCCTTGTCCTTGAGTGCACAAAAAATCTATCTATTCTTGATACTTAATTGCATGAGACCATGTTATCTTTCTCTAAAGGGAGTACTTATCGTATCTCACAGTTTTTTTACCAAGGTATAACATTTTATTCCAATATATTACTTGAAAATTTTCAAACAAAAGTTATTAAAAAATACCAACAAACAAATTATGAACATCTTCTTCATTTAGATTATGCGATTATCATTTTCATTTACTACGGTATTTTATAATTTGGAATAATTATACGGCGAAATAAAGTAGTACAATACTTTCAAAAATATATGTGACGTGTTAAAGAATGATATTCGAAACTTAAGAAAGGTGATAACCGGAAATGAGGAAGTCGTAAAACGATAGAAGCCAAAGAATGATCGATACTTCTCTACTTGAACTCTCCCTCCCTACTTTTGTTCTCGTATTTTAAGGGACTCATTTTTGGCATAACGCAATAAAAAATAAAAAATGGAAAGTGACTAATAAGGAAACATTACACTAAAGCACCAACGGATTTAATGAGCTTTGGTATTTCAGTAGTATACTTTTAAGTTATTATTGTTCCCGTAAAGAATAGAACTTGGTACGAGAAACGCGAATGCGACTACTTACGTTAGTACGTCAATTGATTAATGTATACATTTAAATAAAAAAATATAACACACACGGATATTAAAAAAAGACAAAAATATAAATACTTTTCTCTCAAAATTAGCTGACCAATAGATAAAAGTATTTAACCATGATAATATCTTAAAGGTATACTACAGCGTAAAGCCTCCAGACAGACAAAGAGAACGAGAAAGAGAGAGAGAAAGAGAGAGAGAGAGAGAGAGAGAGAGAGAAAGGTAAAATGAAAAGTTAAGAAACAAAAGGAACTATAAAAATCAAAAGAAAGATGTTCTATCTCTCTCACTCTCTCATTTTATTCTTCGTTGAATGTCGAGGACCACCAGCTGCGATCGTGGTAAGAACAAAAAGAAAAAACGTCTGCTGGGAAGTGGTCCTCGACGAATCAAAGAGCTTGCGTGGCACAACCCTCATCCAAGCATCATCCCTTTCGCACGTATATTTATTGGCTAGTCAGACGTACACACGCGTCTCAATGTACAAAAACGTAGAGAAACGTAGTACGTGTGACCACTCTTTTTTTTCTCTCCTACGTGACCGTGCCAAAACGTTTTGTTCTTTCATTTTGTTCTTTCTTTTTTCATCTTCTTTCTTTCTTTCTTTCTTTCTTTTTCTGTACTTGGCTAAAGCACTTCTATGAGAAACCACTCTTTTTCTTTTTCCTTTTTTCTCTTCCTGCTATCTAAACTTCAAACTTTTCAAGAGGTTTGAAACTAACCATAAGAGTTGTGCTTTTTAATAACCAATAAAAGTGTTGCTTTACAATACCAGTAACTATAGTATAATAAATTATTTTTAATTGTCAGACTTAAAGATAATTATTTTTCTAAAATTAATACTTAAGTCTTTAATTATTAAGTCGAGTCTTAAGTAACTTCCGATACGGCTATGTTCCATGTTGCTGGCAAGCTTCTCTAAATTACTATGGTTCCTTTAGGTTAGTTCAACATGAACATGAACATGAAACTGCAGTATGTTATCGTTTTCCTAATGTTGAATTAATACACCCCTATATACAATCTTCTCCAATTTCTTACCTCCTCTTCCATTAATTATCATGATGATCTTTTGTTAACGATTATTGTCAATTATCAAAAACATTTTCTTCAACGAATATATTAGGTTCAGTCATAAATAACTTTTCGTCAGTCAGACAAAGTAAGAATCTGARTCAGAGTCATTCAGTCARAGTAAGAGTCAGTCAGTCAGAATTAGAGTTAGTTAGTTAGAATYAGARTAAGTATTAGTCAGTTAGTCAGAATCAGAGTAAGTATTAGTCAGTCAGTACCAAGTCAATCAGTTCGCAAGAGTCAGCATCAGTTGTAAGACTAAGAGNTACAATTCAATTTTGGAATGATAAATATTACTGAATTAACGTTACCGATATATTACGGATATTTTTTGAAAAATGAATTTCTTTATTACTTTGCAAATATAACAATGTGTACATGTATTATCATTATTTGCCTGGTAGGAGTTGCGAATTATTCTATGTATATTGCAATAATACAGCACGCTTGTGCCTTGTTTGATATCATCGTGTAAGTAATCATCAACAAAATTTGTTTATGTTATTTTACAAAATGTATAACTTTTCTTATATATAAAATCTCTTCATTAAATATTATTCGTATTATTTTTAAGTAGATGGAGGGTGAAAGAAAGGTATCAATCAGGAATGTACTATAATCTGAAAACGTTTAACAGTGTTGAAGAAAAGGAATGGATCATTGGTATAATAAAATTCTACAATAATACAATGAAGTTGGTATTCGATTTAAAAAATTAATTTACTTCGTTTTTAACATTCTTACATTAAGTAAGAAAAACCTTGAAAAATTAATCAAACAAATACTTTTTTTCTTTTTCATTCTCTTCAAGTTTTGTCAATTTGATCAAATTGTGTTATGAGACAGTTCTTATATTCGAAGCTTTTTGCGCGATGATTTTTATTATGGTGGATTATTTCTACGTAAGAAATTACGTTTTTCAAAAATTTTGTCATAACTGTACATACATGAACTCATTTTAATGAAAATATCCCAATGGGACTTCGTTTGTAGATATTTCAGATTCTTTCTTCTAATATAAATACAAGCGAGAATTTAATTAGATTTTTTTACATCATTGGATCTTTGTCCG